ATATATTGGGGAAGTCAACCACTTGTGTGTGAGATTCATTGAGAAGTTAAGGGTTTGGATGTTGCAAAGTCAGAGGTTTAGAGATAAAGAAAGAAATAAACAGTGTATTTAGGCAGCAGTTTTATTAAAGACCAACAAGGTTCTTTGTTAAGCTGTTTTCTTTGTTTCTGACAGTTTGTTTAACATCAAGATTGAGGTTGTAGAACTATTGTCTAAACTCTGAATGCTTTCATAATCCATTGTCAAAGAAAGATTATATATGTTTTGTTAAAAATCTCTTTAGACTTATAAATCTATTGTAGGCATTTTCTTAATCATTAGTTTCAAACATCATGCCATTCAGTCAGTTATGTGCCATACGTGATACACGTTTAGGCGATCATGTATCATTCGATACATGACTGACGAGGCAGATTTTTTCCCACGGTAGGTTGCCATTTCTTTCTGCACTAGACCAGTTGCTATCCAAGGTTATAGAACTTGGTCTGTTCTGCTATTTACTCATATCTTGGGGGAGAAGAAGAGGATTCCTATCTTTCCCAAAAGTATTAGCATGTAAGTGAATATAATGGATTCAACTAGAATTCAAACTTGGCTCTCCAATTTCTCAATCCGAGCCGCTATCCATAACTCCACCATGCCATTACCTGTCATATTTTTATATGTCTAGGATATGTAATAGAAGTTCAAGTTTTGTTGGAAGCTATTTCTTAATTTACACTTCACACTACTTCAACAAATATACAACACTCAGTGAGGATCAAACTTATTACAATAATAATAGCGAGTGAAACTAGGTTGCTAACCATAAGGTTACAAGCAGGCTTACTCAAGTTTTATTTTTCTTTAATGCCATTTCCTTTCAGGTAATTATGGCTCTTTACAGATCCCTTTTTCTTTTTATCTGTGAACTGCTATGCCTTCTTGAGAAAAAAGACTAGATCCATTTCCTACTGCTTTCCTACTGCTTTCTTCACAGTTTAGAAATCAGCATTGTCTTTCTCTTAGACTGGCACCCACTCAAGACTAGAGAGCCTGGTCAACCTTGTTATTTAACCCATAGCTGAGGAGAAAAAATGAATTCATACTGTTCCCAAAGGCATTAGTGCACAGTGAATACAACAGACTCATCAGTTTCACTTTCAACACTGATCACCATTAGATTACACACACAAAATTTAGTTAGTCTAAAGCTACAATAGTGGTGTGCCCTATGAGGATCAATGTCATTCTTATTAAATGACTGACAAGAAATATTTGGCAAATACTGGACTATGCTAGTACCCTGGTTTCTGTGATCTTGTTTACAATAAAAAATATTTTAAGACAAGGCAGCAATTTAAATTTAAAATTTTTAGGATGGCAACTTAAGACCCAAGAAATGTGATTAAATATTCAGTTAAATTTCACAATAAATTTTCTCCTCCTTCTGTTTTTTTTCTCCATTTCTTTACTCCAGTAATTTTCACCTCTTATGCACTTTTGTAACACACAAAATGGCTGCACCTAACAGTAGAAATATTAGTATAAATGTCTAAAGAAACATTGGAAACATAACACAAGATAAGGTGTTGAAAAATGAAGTCATTTTAACTGGTTTATATTTTTAAAAGTTTTATAATCTATATTCTTGAACAGTGAATTTTAAAGCAAAAAAAATACATAACCAATTTTGAACATTACTTTCTATTTGTAGGAAAATCAGAGAAAAAATTTCAGAAAATTCAACACTGCTTTTTTGGAAATTGTTACTTTCTCACCAAAGATTAAAATAAATTGCAACATTTCTTTTAACTAAAAATATTTTTAATTTTAAATATTTTTTTTCTTTCGAACTGACATTTGGATTAGAAAGACAAGACTTCCAGTTTTTATTAAAGTGTGCAATAGATTCATGTAACTGTTATGTCATTGTGCGAACAATTTTGATATAAACTTATTTTAGAAAATTATAATAATGAGAAACAAAGCTAATTTAACCTCTTCCCTAACATAGACCTGTATATACATTTTTACTGAAAGACAGATGAATAAACACATCCAAAAACATAACATTCAAAAACCAGCTGCAAATGTATTCATACAGTGATCTTGATTTTTTTTATGCCCTTCTGACCATGAAACAAGTCTAAATGTCAACTCATACGTCTGGTAGAGGTGTTAGCCACCACTCAGGTACTTCAAGGTGTCACAGTTTCTTAGTTACTATATTAAAAACAAATAAAAAAAATTTGTCTGAAAATGAAATGTTTTTCCCAAAATAATTGGCAGGGAAGGGGATAAAAACTTGAACTTTTCAACACCTCAAAGTTAAATATTTTATTGGAAGAATTTTTCAGACTAGCAATCTTCAAACCCTGACTTTTCACGGATCACAATGAATGATTGCACACTCAACGAGGTGGATATTTTTTATTAAGTTTGTCCTAAGCTAAGCAATTTTCTATGTCAAATCTTTGACAGGGGATATCTTTGTTTCATGTCTGTATAACCACTCTGATAATGGCTCATGTGAGCCGAAACCTTAAGACCAACTTAATAAAAAATATCCAAATGTTGGACAATTTTTGTCTTCATTTTCACCAGAAATTAAAGCAAACATTCAAACTTTAGAACAGCTCATGATCAAACATAATACACATCCATTACCTGTTATATTTAGAATATAAGTTAAAATAATGATCTGCTGCCCAAATATACTACATATATATATATATATATATACATACACACACACACTTTCAGATGAGTATATTATATTTTGGAGGCAATTTTTCCTTTATACATGTTTAAAATCAGAGTGTCACTTAACATTATTTCAGTTAACACTTTTTCAAAAAATGTTTGACATTAATATGATATAAAATAGTCAAGTAATCATTATGTTTAATATTCTCTGTGGAAGACAGAAAATCTGATATAAATGTTTGGTACTGAAAGAAAACAAAGCACCTGAGTCTCCAGTTAACTACTGACATACAATACTGCATTAATAGTCATAAATTAAACTAATTCACTGAAAATAATAATACAAAACACAATTTATAACAGTAATCTAATTCTATAAAATAATACAATGACATGGTTATTTTAACAATTTAACAAATAAATTTACAAAATAAATATAGGTCAGAAAATGTTAGGTGCACAAAACGGACTTTTACTGAACATTGTTTTATTTAAATAATATAACTGCACAGTTATTTTAATTATGAAAATTATAAAAAAGCTCACCATATGATTTTTATAAGCAAGGATTACAATAGTTTCAATTAGCAGTTTCATTTAAAGTTGGTATTTTCAGAAATTTGGTCCTGTGTCATAAAGAACTAAATATTACATGTGCACCAGGGTTTCTAACACTTTTTTAATAAAAATTTGAAAATTAATAATCATTATTAAAGACATTTATTAATCATTCAAGCACTTATTAAATACAAAATATTTTCTTTCACTTTCTGGTGCTAAGGTTCTGGAAGTTTTTAAATCCAATTTTGATAAAACAACTCTGGCTTTGATGCAAGATTTTCAATGAAATTTTGAATACCAATGACATCTTTAAATTTCTGATCAGCTACAAAATATTACAGATGGTGTCATATTTGATGAATATGCCAAGTAAGGAAGAATTTCCCCCATCCCAACTCTATTTCAGTGTTTTGGATCAATAAGGCAAACATGAGGCTTGTCATAAAATGTTATGACTTTACAGTATCACTGTCCTAAAAACAACCTTTTTTTCTTTACTTCACTTGCAGAACTCAAACTTTAAAAAGGGGATCACAGTAATATTCTGTGGTAACAGTTTCACCAAACCTCAACAATCTGGAATGCATTACACCTTTCATATCCCAACAAATACAGACTTACCACATCACATTGAAACACTGCTTCCTGTCCAATCACCAAAGTTAAACAACATTAAGCCTGGTCATTACCTAGATAGGTGACTGCTTGGGATTACCAGGTGCTGTAAGCTTGTAAGTTACAATTCTCATTGGGTTCTGAGCCATTATCCATTACACTGCCCACACATCCAAGCTTGCAGTACCTGGAATTCCCAAGCAGTCACCCATCTAGGTACTGACCTGGCTTGACAGTGTTTAACTTTGCTACAGAAACCAGTGTTTCAACCTCATATGGTCATAAGCCTTGACTTGCTGCATCAAGCAGTATATGAATTAAGTTTTTTAAAAATAATGACACTTTCAAAAATTAATGATACAATTTGCATCTTAAAACACACTTAAGTTTCTTTCATCTCCTGATCATGTGTATCAAAAGCTAGGGACAACACAACAATTGGTCAATTTATCCACACACAGCAACAACATTTGTGAAAGGATATTTGTACATAATCAAAAACAAGCATGAAATATAACAGATGCAAAATGCTTTTAATTTTTTTAACAATACATATTTAAAGGAACTATTTATGCCCAAATTTAGCAAATTTAAAAGTATATTTGTGAGAGATTTGGGAAGTAAGACATCTTTTTATCAAAGGCAATAAAAAATTCACAAATACAGTCAGAACCTGTATCTGCCTATATTTCTAAGATGAGGTATTATGTACACTATTTACTTTATTCAGACTGTGAGTTTAATACCTGGTTAAGGCAGTGGAGAACTTGGAGAGGGGAATTAACAGGAGATAACTGATAACTGACATCCATTAAACATGGCACATGGAACTAGAAGTCTACTCCAGTGAGCGAAATAAAGGGTCCAGTTCGACATTCCAACTACATGAAGGCCAGAGCGTACAACGGCCGAAACATTGTAATAAATATGGTGACAAAAGATGAGGACAATAGTCTGAATAATGTAAATAGTCAGAACCTGATTTTGAAAATTCACTTTGCTTTTATAAAAACCCAGATTAGTATCTGTTTTTACTAACACCAAAAGATATAAAAAATCCAGACTTTCACTTAAAAATAAGGAAGGGAAGTGTAGCATTCATTGTTTGTTTTGCAAGCAGCCATTATAAAGGCAGTATGCACTCCAAGCATCAAGAGGAGTGTCACCAAGCTTCTTCCTCAGGTATGACATTCAGCCTCTTGGCATCAAGCCGCTAGAACTTTGAACTGCTTCTATGAGCATCTGTGCTTTTTTCAATTTTTTTTCTGCATCCATAAGCAAGATGTGTCCTAATGTATCAGAAAAACATAAGTGAGCATGTAAGGATGTCACACTTTATATAAACCTAGATGTAATGATGCATGTCAAGTAGGGGGTCTGGAAACACTCAAAATGTTCAAATTAATGCTATCACCTTAAACTATTTCAGCTTATGGAATGCCTTACTGTTTTTTTATCCTAAAGTTCACGTAATATAAGGCTCGAGAGCCACTTAAGATAGATAGTTACTGTTAAAAAGGTTATGATGAATATGCTATAATATAAATGAAAGAGGAGGTGGTAGGAATTAAAAATTATGAGCATAAGGGGGATAGATAACGACTGACTCTTAATTTGAAGAGATCAAGCCAGTAGTGTTCAAGGGAAAATCCACATACAAATCTGTTCCACAAAGTAACAATCTCTGGCAAAAAGCTTTTTGAGGAGAAATTATTTCTTATATATATCAATCTATATATCTATCATATCCAAGCTATTAGTATCTATTTATTTATGTAGCTCATCCAGACTATACATATCTTTCTATTTATCTAACTCATCCGGATTATTCATATCTAACTATATATCAATCTGATCTGGGCTATTCATATCTATCTATCTATCACATCCTGGTTATTTACATCTATCTATCTATCACATCCTGGTTATTTACATCTATCTATCTATCTATCTATCTATCTATCACATCCTGGTTATTTACATCTATCTATCTATCTATCTATCTATCTATCACATCCTGGTTATTTACATCTATCTATCTATCTATCACATCCTGGTTATTTACATCTATCTATCTATCTATCTATCTATCTATCTATCTATCTATCTATCACATCCTGGTTATTTACATCTATCTATCTATCTATCATCATCCTCTATTATTTACATCACATCCTGGTTATTTACATCTATCTATCTATCTATCTATCTATCTATCTATCACATCCTGGTTATTTACATCTATCTATCTATCTATCTATCTATCTATCTATCTATCTATCTATCTATCTATCAATCAC